AAATCATTTTTGTATTCTGTTTCGAAAATACTATTTCTAATTTCATTTAAAAGACGTTCATTTTCTTTGATAATTTCTTCACTTTCTTCAATTTCTTTTTTAAATTCGTAAACCGTTTCTTTTAAAATATTATTTAAAAGATGTTTTTCGTCTTCAGTTAAAATTTGTTTTTTGGTATTTTCACCACAACTGATTGTTATCATTTTGTATTTTTCATTATACGGTGTGTAAAAAAAATAATATTTGTTCAAGTTACGATATATAGAAGAAATTAACATTTTCTTTTTGCAATTCTTGATTATTTTCTTATCCATTTTTATAAAAAATTTTAATAAAAATACTGGATATTTATATTTTTATAAACATGGAGTTTATTAATAAAAAATAATCTTATACATAAATCTTATATAAACTTATATTCTTAATAAACTTATATTAATAAATAAATCTTATATATAAACAAACATAATTTAATTTTGTAACATATTCGCTAACATATTTAATCTTAGATTATATTTGACTACCGCTGTCGTATATGCTCGAAAACGTTCTTCAAGACGATAATCTGGTAATGATTTTACAAAAAAATTTTGAATATTCGCAATTTCTTCAATTGAAAGATGTAAGTCAGGATCGAATGATTTTACAAAACATTTTCTTAAAAATTCAACCTTGTCTTCTTTTTTAACATCACATATAGATTCCACTATCTTTTTCCCAATATCATTTAATCTTTGATGAAACACTTTTAAAATTTCGATAATTGCTTTTTCATCTAATTGAAATCCAAGATTTATGTACGATTTTAAAGATTTTGTTATTTCTTGAATCGATGGTTCGGGTCTTGATCTTTGAGGCGGAAATAATATCATCATCACCGCTGGAAACATTAAACTATTCACATCTTCAACTACATTATAACCAATTGATTTCCATAAATTTACAAGGTCGTTATATAATATAATAGCACGGGTAATAACATTTAATTGACGAATGTTTTCATAACCATCTCGTGATGGGTATTCTTCTATAAGAGTTGTACAAGGTCTCGAAGAAAATGGTGCAAATTTTTTAACCAAGATTAAATCTTGTATTTTTTTTAGATTCTTTTTGATTTGTTCTCTAGCATTTTCGATTGCAAATGGACCACAAGATAAAAAATGAAAAAGTTCCATATCATTTGATTTCAAAAATAATTCATCCTTGTAAATTTTTTCAGCTTCTAGTAAAAAGAAGGTAAAAACTTCCATTTTTAGAGTGTTAGCCCAGGGTTTTATAATTTTAATATTATTTCTATGAATTGTCTGATTTAAATTATGTAATATTTTTAATTCTATCAAACGCATTTCGTATTCACCAAAAGCCAACATGAGTCTTTGCATAAAATAACAAGATAGGTTTGCTCCTTGACTCAGTAAACAGTGTGCTACTTCAAGAGTTAAAAAATAAGGACCCAATCTAACAGCGTGAAAAAGGGCCTGTGCTTTACCGAAATTGTAAAGTAACCATATAGCTTTCATAGTGGGGTTGGTTATGATATCATAAAAGAAACGGCAAACTAACAAAAGATTTAACAGACATCTGATGTTTCTTACAATAATAAAAAAAATCTCAGTTGGTAAGTCTAAGACTAACATGATGATTATTCAATTTGAACCATGATAAAAAAATTAAAACTTTTATATTCATCTATCGGAGTTTACGAAGTTGTTTATTTAAAAATAATTATTAATATATATGTAAAATTTAATGATTCTTAATAATATCAAAAACTTCCTTAATATCTGGTCTATTATCTGGTAATTGATCCCAATATCTAACATAAATATCCTTATACCACTTGGGCGTGTCCTCAACTGGAGTTTCTCTTTTTCCGTTAAAAATATATACTGCGATCACATCTTCAATTTCAAAATTTTTAAATAGTTTTTCACCACTTGAAATTTCCCAAAAGACAACACCCAACGAATAGATATCTGATTTTTTTGTTAATTCGTACTTGTGGTTGATGATGTATTGGGGATCGATATACAAAGCATTTTTTCTCAGACCAACAATTGGTCTAGTTTCTTTATTCTCGAACTTGCTAAATCCAAAATCAGAAAGCTTGGCGGTACGTTGTGAAATTAAAATATTCTTGGGCCATATATCTTTATGAATCACATCGCAATTATGTAAAAAATATAGACCATGAGTAATATCTTTACAAAGCTTAATCTTTTCATTCCATGTTAAGCAATCAAATTTATCTAGATATTCTCTTAGATTTCCCTGGTCCGCATATTCAAAAACTAAATTGAGATGGTTGTCAGAACAACATCCATAAAAGGTAATAATGTTTAGATGACTGACTCTTAAATTTGAGATAATATTAAATTCATTTTGAAATTCGCTATTATTTTCAAAAAAATTTTTGATAACCACATCTAGATCTGATGATTTCCATTTCGTTTTAAAAATCTCCACATTGATATTTTTATAAATTGACTCTTTATCAGAAAAATCATTCGGATTGATTTGATTGCGGTTGGGCATTTTTATATTGTGAAAGATTCAATTATTTAAGGTTTTATTTTGATTTGTTTATTAATTTATTAGAACATTATTATTAATTATAAAAAATATTTAAATACAAAATACATATCTAGATATTAAAACAGAATATAATGTCATCTGAAAAAAACTTTGAAGATATTGTAAAAAAAGTTATAGATCTTTTCAACAATGACCAATTAGAATCCGCTTATTTGTTAGCAAAAGAAAATATCGAAAAAATTCCGA